GTGCAGGAGAAGATTTCAGAGGCAGAGACATCAGTTATAATAGATATAATGCTATTGGCCGAATACTGGTTTCAAACTTGTAATATGATTGGCGGTGTAGGAGAAGATTTCAGAGGCAGAGACATCAGTTATAACAGATATAATGTTATTGGCCGAATACTAGTTTCCAATTTGTAATATGATTGGCAGTGCAGGAGAAGATTTCAAAGGCAGAGACATCAGTTATAACAAATATAATGCTATTGGCCGAATACTGGTTTCCAACTTGTAATATGATTGGCGGCGCATGAGAAGAATTCAAAGGCAGAGATATCGGTTATAACAGATATAATGCTATTGGTCGAGATTATCTCCGACTTTCCATCTTGACTTTTATTTCTCCTTTTGTAGATTTCTTTTTCTTTTTGTCTTAATACACTTTTGACAGATTGATCTGACATATTGTTTGTAACGAAATTCGGTCAACTATTAATAATCGATACCAAATGGTTTGTCGCTAAGTTAAATAAATGCAGCTAGATTCATTATGTGTGTTATTTTTTATGATAAACTAGCTAGATTCTTGTGCTGAGAACTAACATATCAGGGTCTTTCAAAAGATGTAACTAAGTATATCCTAACAAGAACCGCATGTTTTAGTTCTTTCTTATTATTTAGTCTACGTTTCTAACATATTTAATAAATTCGAAAAGTGATAGGACGATAAGCTATCAATCTCCTTTCTTCAAAACTCAAATATTTTTATCTTAAAAACACTGAATTCCCCCAAATCCGAATGACCAATTTAACAACATTCAAAGTTCAAAGTGATCAATTTACTAGCAATCCCAAAGTTCAAAATGGATCCAAATTACACACACACACGAAGTCAAATTGCCGCGAAATTGTTGTCCTCAAGCGCATCTGTCAATCCAACTTGGGCATTTTATTTGCATGGAGGATGACGACGGCGGCCAGGTTGCAATTATCAGTATCTATTGGACCTGAAAAAACCCTAATAATAATAATAAAACCCTAATTTGGCATTTAGCTCTAATTTGTTTTTTATGTGTGTTGCTTGTTGTGTGGCTCCAAAGACCAAATGTGACCAAAATCGCTTCAAAAACAAAAATAAAAAATTTGTGGGGGCTCAACTCAACTGATGGTCGGCTGGAAAAAGGGTCAACTTGCAACAAAAGATCTAATGCTGTTTGGCCTTTTGAAACACAGTTAGAGCCAACTCTCTATGCAATTCCATATGATTCTTTTTTTTTATCCTCTCTCTTTCAATACATGTAAATATCTCTTTGTTTATCGCATTACATAATATCGCAACATTCAATAGAAAATCTTTCAAAGATCGAAGCAGACATTTTGAAGTTACGATACTGTTACGACGCGCGCGGTAAGATCATGATAAGTTGGTTGAAATGGCTAACATGACTAAAAAGGGCAGAGAAAGAAGTGGGGCTGAAAAGCTGAAGGCATATTCATATGGTAGGGAAAAAGGGCAGAAGAGAAAGAAGACAAGTCACAAGCTTTTTGATGGACCAAACCCCTCTTCTTTGTTTTGCTTTTGGATGAATGGGCCTTTCAAATATCTTAATTATGCCATATGGATCTTGAAGCAAATGGGATCCACAGGAATGCCAGTGCTGGGACATGAAAGATGAAACCACAGTGGAGAGAAAGAGACAGTAAACCCCCACTTCTTGCTTTGCTTGGCTCTGTGTTCATCTCAAACCCATCAATGAAATTCTGCAGAAAGTCCTTTTGTTACAGTTCAATAATGTCTGGGACAGTACGATGAGCTGAGAGTGGAGGGACAGAGGAAAAGAGAGGAAGAACGTGATTTCTCAGTACACCCACAAACCTTTGTTTGTTGTTGTTGTTTTACCATGTGATTTTAGGGCACTTGCTGCTGCAATTTTTAGGCCACATTTTGTTCTCTACCATCATGACTCCTGGTCATAAAACTAGACCTTCTCGGTATTTGGCACAGAGCCTATCGACGTCAGAGCTCGTTGATTGTAAGAACATTGATCAGCGATGGGCATTAAGCCTTACTTCCAAGGTGCCCTATCAGTTGGTGGTGAAGAAGTTGATCGAAATAGTCATATACTTTTTGAATTATATTTGCATAACCATCGAGAAGCTGAGTATCTGATTAAAATGTTGGTCGGAATGAACGCAGTTTCTGAATTTAGTCTGCAATTAACATCATTCAAAGGGAAAAACTTCATCAGAACCATGGACAAGAGGAAAATAGTATGCCTAATTCGCATGGATTTATAAGATACCGATGCGAGCTATATTTACTCAATGGTGATCATCACATCATAAACTATGAATGTATATAACCACTATAACCATTAAACAGCCACAAGATGGTTTCATGGTATGTTATCTAACACTCGGTTACATTACTCGCCCTGAAGTGGAGCCTAATCCTCGATCAACAAGGATCAATCAAAGCTGCCATATCTATATCTATAGTCTTAGCTAAGTATGGCCATCTCAATGTGAAAGATTATAGGGAAGCCGTTTGAGGAACAGAATGAGTCAAGCTTCAACGGTGTAAGACACTTTGGTAACACCTTTCTTGGTACGAATCTGAGAGACCTGGTCAAAATATGCCACAATCAAATCATCATATCATAAAAAATGCTCCAGTGTTTTTCTGAACACCAGTCTTCACAACATATTCCAAGACATGAAAAGATAACCATTAGTATTATTCTCCAAGCAGGTGTTTGAGATTTCCCATGTGTATGGGTTTACAAAGATCAGACCAGCATCTTCAACTTGACAAAACACAGAAACGTCTATGGCGTTCTTAGGGGAGAGTTCTTTTTGTACCTTCAAACTTCTGATTTCTGAGATATCAGGAACATGGGTACCACCACAAGGGCATCCAGGGTTGTCCCCTAACTTCACAATACGAGGATTGCTGCCCTGCAAACAGATCAAACATAACTACTGAGCCGAAATGAGCCAAATGTGAACAACCAGCTATTGCCCTGCCAACACAACCCATCGAAAGTGAGATTGCCTTGTGTTGATCCGATCACTACCTAATAAAACCCAATGTGTATTGACTCGTGACCCATCACGACTCTTCTTTAAGTGCCTAACCATCACAATCCTACTTGTACTGTTGAATTCTGGTTTTTAATTGGCTGATTCATTTGCAACCCAGCAACGCATTATGACCAGCCAACTTTGATAACCAGATCTGCTATGGCCTGATCAAGAGCAAAGACCAATAATATCATGGTTCAACAATAAGGGATTCCAAGATTCCTCAAAGTCACAAACCTTTGGAATGTAATCAGGAAGGGAACCTCCACACCATTCACAGGCTTCATCATAAGACATCTCAGCAGCAATTATCTGCAGAAAATCAAAGAAAACAAACTTCACACAAACATAATGCAGACTCTCATTCCAAGTCCCCAACGCAAAAGAGAAAGAGAGCTCACTTTGCCTCCTTTAGATATCAATCCATTAGCTTCAATCTCTATCTCTTTCTGCTTTGTCTGCAGTTCATTCTGTGGAACTGTGCCTTTATATTCAACCCATGGCCTGCCCAAGAAAATGGGGAGCAGGTGTTTCCACAGCAGTTCTGAGAAGAAAATGCTCGAACTTTAGAGCTTCAGTAAAGTAGTTTAGTAAGTTTACCCATCAGGGAAATGGTAAGCTTTTCCTGGCTTGAGATGCCCCAACCCCACATTTGGCAGACAAGCATCCAACAAATGTCCAGCTGAATGCAGCCTGTTCAATCACAGATCCAACTCCCAACTACTGTTACACCAAATCTCAACTTTTGATTGTTGTAAAAGAAGACAGAAATTTGGTTTGGGATGATTTCCAAATCTCTCTTTGGTTGAATTTGAAATACAGTTCAATTGGGTGTTAGAATTGCACTATGTATTTCGAGGCCAAATCCATTACACAGGCAAATCTTTCTTTCCAATGATCATAGAAATTATCATTCAAAATTTTATGTAATCTACCGATTCTGTATCTAATAATTCTAATTCAAACTATCCTAACAGTTCATCTATATAAGAATGGAGCGGGGATGTAACAAAACAAACCTAGAGTTGAGCTTCCGCCTTGTTTCATCAACACGTAAGAAGACCTCAGTCCCTTCCTTGATTTCCTTCTTGGGATCTTCCACAGAGCAGCCCTCTGTGACTCCGTAGTGATAAACCTAAGTTGGAATTCAGTAAAGTTCGTTCCTTTAGCCAACCATGCGTACGAAATTGAGAAACCCAGATGGGAAGGACAGAGAAAAGCAAAAGGGTTCAAAAATTCACTAACGATTCCATCCTTCGAGCGAACATCTTGCACAGTGAACTTGAAGGTCGTCGTCGTCGTCGCAGAGTCAACGCCCGCGGCGGTGATGAAACCTGTGTCCGCCGGCTGCCCGCCACCTTGCGGATAGAAGACTGTGGCGTCCAAAATCAGTGTCTCTCTTCCATCGTCGCCCTTTAATGTATAGAATAGAATTGGGAAGAAATGGAAAATCGTTTCAGAGGTCTGCGTAACGAAAGGCAGAGGTTCAAGACAAATGTAAGACTACTAGGTGGGGGATGGAACCATACCTTGATGAAGGAGAGGACTCTGGCTTTGGATTCGAGCTTCTGCATGTCATCGTAGTAATCCAACTTTGTTGGAACCTGGGAGGAAGCCATTGATGAGTGCTTGCTTTACAACAGTTGCAGTGTGGAAGTTTGGGCACGGCCACGAAATGGTGGTTGAGGAAAAATCAGATGGCGGGCTATTGTTTCACTTTATGGCCTTTGGGCCAGGAAGTGCCTTTTGTTGACTAGGTTACCATTGATATGGCTTGGGAATAATCTAGATGAACCTAGAATGAACTTTAGACTAATCCTAACCTTAACATTAACGCATTCTTCTTGGTTAAATAGGCTTAACGAGGCACTGATGGTCAGTATTCAGTAATGGTACATTTTGCAAGAAAACAATGTGACAGATCGAGGGACAATAGTGATAATGCAGCATCCTCGACAAAGGATTGATACCAGCAGCAAATCGTCTCATAAAATGCAGAGATCTCAACTTTACTGATTTGTATCTGATTACGACCAGAAATCGATTGATCGAAACTCGAAACAGAAGGCGCTAAAGTACTTTATGACCTACACAGCAAAAACTGGCAGGAAGAGTTTTTACATTATTTACTTAGACCACCACTAGCTACAACCAGCTAACTGCAATAGCAATTCATGGCTCGGAGCAATATACTAAGTTCTAGACATTCTCTCTAAATTACTGTTCGTAGACCCATCCTCCTCAATAGACTCTTTCAGCAAGCCAGAGCTAGGCGTCTGAAATTCACTACTGCTTGAGCTCAGCTTTCTTCTTCTGCCAGAGCCGATCCAGTGCACTGTCACCATCACCCTGTGAAAGAAAGAAAAAAACACCCCTCTATGCTATAGTCAGATTGTTCCAAATAGATAGAAGCTCCCGCTAAGTAACAACCGCGGCAGCAACAAGTACTTAATGCAATGCAAATGAATACTCAAGAACGGATGCAGACAGTTAGAGCTTCAAGAATCCAATGACGACAACAAAAAGTCACTTCCACGGGATTCTCTAAAGAAGTTCATTTCACATGAAGACAGCAGCCAATACTATTGAGGAATGGTGCAAGTAAGAAAAAGCAATAATGCATGGTATGAGAGATTTAACACCCATGAGGGCATGACCCATATTATCTATCCAACAAAGTTGAAACACAGACATTGCATATATAAGTATCATACATGACTATTCGAATCCAGTGTTGCGATATCGTAACGTACTGGTAGAATCATGTATTAGTGACCAAACCGATACGGTTTTCCTCGCAGAACCAATCTCCAGTACAGTTTCAAAGTGGATACTATCTTCACAATTTTCCCCCACTTCAATTCATTTCCCAGAATCCACAGCAAGCATTCCACTCCTTATTCACTACTACATCCAGTTACTTATAAACTCTTCAGGCTTGATTCTCAAGTTTCAGCCATAACAGTGGCACTACCAATGAGCATTGAAGAAAAAGGAAGGGGGCAGTAGGGAGAAGTTCACCTGAGCACGAACGAAGCCACAGAGAGCGAAGGTGGTGAAATGGCCAGTGTAAAGCCCATGCTCGTCCAAATGGCCGATGTTGAGCTGAACAGATGCATGGTCTTTGGAAGTAATCAACCTATTGGTGGCCGAGCTGCCAATTCAACCAGCACATCCATCAAAACCGAAACAAACCCTAGACCCTAAACATTGAATGAACCAGAATTACAGAAAATTTACAAGGGGGTTTTGAAATTCGGATGATTACCATTTCCGGGGAATGTAGAGATCCACGCTCTGTCCCTCTTCGTTCTGCATTTTTGCGAGTATGGAGGGGAATCACCTGGATAAAAAAGGAAAACAGTAGAGAAATTGCTTCATCACTCATCAGAATTACGGCTTCGACAAATCGAAACGACGTGGAGAAAACAAATATCGAAGGCGAAATAGACGGGCTACGATTTCTCGGCAGCCAGGCAGTGATCGGAATTCCGGTTGAAACAGTATGATCGTACCTGGAAAGAAAGGCCCGGGGAGATGATCGGATTTCTGGTTTTTCTGTCCGGCGAAGGAATGAGAAGTCGGGAAAAGGGATATGGCGGGTGAAAACCCTAAAGGGATGTCTGATGGGCCGGGCTCAACATGGAAGGACCACTTTTGTGGGCTTCTGCACTGCCGTTGGGAGGACTCACGAAAATGGACGAAATGAGAGGTAGGAATGGCAATGGGCAGGTCCAGGGCGGGTTTCTTGGTATCCAGACCCGCCCCGTGGCAGGTCGGGTACATGTCGGGTAATTTATCACGGGTCACGGGTCGGGGCAGGTCGACCCAATGAGTAAGCAATTTATATGTAAAATATTAGAAATGTTCGTTATTTTTATTATAAGACCATGGAAACAAACAATATTATGATAAATATAGTTAAATTATTGGAGAAATTGAGGTTTTCACTAATTTACAACTTTATTATAGCTAAAATTTGATTTAGTAAAAGGAAAATCCTAAGTAATTTGACTAAAATTACGTGTAATTTAGGCAAGAACGGGTCGATAATGGGGCGGGTCAAGGCAGGTCGGGTCTATGAGAGTACCCATGCCCGCCCAAAACAGGTCAAACAGGTCGGGTAAAACGGGTCAGGTCGAAATTGTCATCCCTAAGAAGAGGCACTACCAGTCTACCATGGTCCATGGTAGTTCTTTCAAAAGTCCAGTGACTAACTTGTCACATATCAAACTCTGAGGACCAATTTGTCAATGGCCCAAAATATGGCTGGTGTTTACGCAAATTGACCCGCCTCTTCTTTCCGTTCAATTAAAACGCCAGCCTGGCCTCTTCACATGCAACTCCGCCGGCAAACCGTTCGGCCATTTTGTCTATCTTAAATAAACCAAACTGCATTTTGCCAGCAATCATTAACGCCCCCCATATTATATCACTCTCACAAATCACCCTCACCCTCAAACACATCAAGAAATTACAGAACACATGATAGGTCGTTGACAATCTCTTCTACATTCATTTCTTATGTAATTAGCAGTTTTGCTAAGCTTTCATCTTAAGAGCAACGACTACTGGAGTGAAAAGAGGTAACGTACCAAGTCGTGATATGATGTGTTCGACTAATAAGTGTACACGTCTAGGTCGTAAGCATAAACCAACTCAATTTTAGAGACAAATAGAGCTTTTGATATAATTAACTTACGAAAGTTCATTGATAAAAGGCTTTTAGCCCAAGCAATGAGGAAACTTGTATAGTCATCGCCTTATCTGGCTCAAACAAGCTAAACATACCCGCCAGTAGTCGATCAATCCGGTAAACACTAGAGAACCTCAATCAACACAAAGATGTGAAAAAGACAGAAAATATTTTGTTACATGCTCACGAGGCAAAACCCCCAATTGACGACCCGAAACTTTGACACCGTCTATGCCTCCTCGCAATTGTCGAATATGCACACAAACTTTTGCATCGTTCGTCCTGTCTTTCTTCGCCCTCTTCAACTCAAGGATTATGTTCACGCAGTCTACAAAATTGGAAAGGTAGAAGGTAAATGGTTTGATCAACACTGTGATAGTTATCAGAAACCGATCAATGTCAGGTGATCATGCGAGATTATAACATGACTAAGATAGGGATCAAGAAAATAATATAATTTAGATGTAAAATGAGGGTCCTAATTGCTAATAGGGCTTTTCATCTCCCCCTCAACTATTGTTGTAGACTTGTAGCATATGTAGTATATGGTGCCAAATGCCAATTTTGCCGTCAAATGTTACTTTTAAGTTTAACCATGCATGAGGTTGGGAGGGAGCAAAGTCTATTAATTTAAGCAACTAAGTGCACCAATATATTCATATTGTTATTGTCGAAATTCCACTATTGATATAAGAAATTGCTCTTTATTCATTAGTGGCAATCATTTTCTCATGGTTGTATTTTTGTCGATACTCGATGATTGATAGCTCTTATGATTGGCAAAAAGGGCCAAATGGTTTTGATTTGTACAAGAACGAACTCGCCGCTTGGGAAGAATGATAATAATAATAATTTATTTTTTTTATGGGAGGAAGAATGATGATAATCATAAGCAATAATTATAATTATAGTAAACCACATTAATTAAACAAAACAAACGCGTCCTAAGCAAAATTCCTATCTTGTTGATTATGATGTCTCCCAACGAAGCAAAAATGAATGCGCTCACAAACATACATTTCCCCCTTTTCCCACATTCCTTTCACACACCATGTTTGTTTGGTGGATTGGACGTATCATTGTAGGCATAGGGACTAAGCATTTTGAATCTATTGTCTATTTCTATCTTTAGTAGGAGAACGATTGTTAAAGAAAACTGAACTCAATTTATTCGAACTAGGAGAGTAATTATAAGTCGTTAAGTAGAGGTTATGAAAAATGTGTTCGATTGGGTTCGTTTGGACATGTGAGACATTGTCAAATTCATCATTTGACTATAAGAAAGAAAGTGATATCAAATTTTTTGACCTCGCAAATTTGCAAAACTCAACTTAACGGATAGAATCTGCCAAATCCAACATTCAAAATGACCTTATCATTTTCTTTATTACAAGTCATTATGCACAACTTACAAAATACCATATCATAATCACGAACAAGAGCTTGATGTAGTGGGTATTAATAGTTTAATACCATTAGTTTTAAATCTGGATATTCCAGGTTCAAATTGATTAGGTAGTATCAAATCACAAAAAGTAAATATATATCACTCTTATCTAAAAAAACAACATACCATAATTTGTCATAAAAAATTCAAATATACGAATAGAATTTATCGAATGAATGTAGCTTCTTATATATAATAGTTAATCGTGTCACTTCAACTCTTCCATTCATAAGTTACCTCTAAAATCTTCAATCTACCTAGTAATTAAGATTTAATTTCTACTTAATTATAAGGACTTTAAAAAGGTTAAAAAGAAAGAGTCTTCACAGTTATTATTAAATACAGTGGCATTCTTGTTATTACTCTTCGAAACGATGGCAATTTTGTTCTCACCTCCACTTAAAACCTCAGCGCGTAGCTCACATTTCATTATTTCACTCTCTCTTCACTCCTCGACCACCGCACCCCACAAATTGAATCCAAACAAGAAAAAAAAAAACCAGAGAGGCGAAGAAAGAGAGAAGAAGAAGAAGAAAGAAGATCGACGGGAAAAAAAAAAAATTAAGAACCCCCCGAAGAAATGGGAAGCAGGAGCAGCTTGCGGCGGAGCGGATTCCTCCTGATCTGCGCAATCCTGGCGGCACACCTCGCCGCATCCACATCGACGGCGATCGACTTCCTCCCGGCCGTGAACTCCCCCGGCGCCGGATGCAACGGATCCATCGCCGAGTGTATGGCGGCGGCCGCGGCCAGCGAGGGAGCCGACAACGAGGAGTTCGCCATGGAGTCGGAGTCCGCCCGCCGGATTCTGGCGGCCGGCAGGTACATCAGCTACGGCGCCCTGAAGCGGAACAGCGTCCCTTGCTCGAGGCGCGGCGCGTCGTACTACAATTGCCACGCCGGAGCTCAGGCCAACCCTTACCACCGCGGCTGCAGCCACATTACTCGCTGCCGCTACTGAATTTTCCCCTCTCTCCCCCCCTCTCTTTTTTCTTTCTTCTTCTTCTTTTCCACATAGATATATCTATCTATCTCTATGTATACTTACTAATAACTATGATTGATTCGATTTTGTGTCTGATGTAATACACGGCGAGATTTGTTCCGAGATTGGGAGTCAAACTGAGTTCAGTTTGGTGTTTTGTGATATCGTAGTTGTATCGGTTAAACCATCGTATTAGGAGGTGATCAAGCCGTCGCACGCAATGAATTCGAAACGATTTCGTTACGGTATTATTAGTTTCGTCAAATTGTATCTATGGTTCGATCACATTGCATACACCTATATTGTTCGATTACTCTCCAATCAAGAAGTCTGTAGTGAGACATAAACCGCTCGCTCGTTTTCTTCGATTAACTGATGCTAACGATATCAGCTCGTGCTGTTACCACGCTACACTTGGTCCGGCTTAATTCGTGGCAGAGATGCTTTACATCCATTAATTCTGGGAATCCCGTAGAAGAAAGAAAAGGTTTCATGGTCCAGTAAGTGATTTGAGAATCAAAGCATCTTTTCTTTACCTTGCAATTGAAAGCTTGAAGGACACGCGTAAAACTAAACCTACATCAAACACAACTGGACCGCTCTAATGGAAGGCCGGCGGGGGGCCATAATAATAAATCTGGGAAAATCAATGCTGTTATCACCAATCAGCAGCTGGCAAGTGCCCTTTTAGGTGTTCATGTGTGGCCCAAGCCAGCCACCATTTTGGTGATTTCCAGCAACATTTAACCGAATCAAAGAAGCTTCTCTCAATCACTTCACTTCTTCCACACCTTTTCCCTGCTGAGTTGGATGTTGGCTGGAGATGCTAATTGCTAAGTATAGAGACGGTGACCCGGGTTCGGTCACTCGGGTTCAACGAATCGACATTCGAACCCCGCGGACCACTTGGTTCATACCGCAATCAATCTGATCGAAGAGTTCTGGACAGAAGAGGGATGTCAACATCTAACCACACGCTGAATTAATGAGTTACAGGCAACATATATGGCAAAACAACGAACATAGACACCTTAGAGATGGTGTCAACATCACTCTCTATTCAATGGGTTTGCTGATCAGAAGAGGAAAAGCAGAATGGTGGTAGAAATGGAAGATGGGGTGGGGAGGGTTCACATCAAAGATGTCCCGGGAAAACTTGCAGGCCAATAAAAGCAAACAGACAGAAGGACGATCATTGTTGAACAACAGTTTTGGTTCCGCTGTCACGACGACCTTCTTACTTGGTATTTTTGTCTCAGGCTGAGTCGTCGCCTGGCTTGGATTCGTCCTTCGCCTTGGGTGTCGAAGGAGATGGCGAACCTTCCACGCCCATCTCAGCTCTCAGATCGTTGATGCTCCTCTCTAGCTCGTCTATCCTGCCTCCCATGTCATCGAGTGCATTGCGGTCAAGGATAACCAAAGAATAAATATCCACAGATTTGATGATAACTGGACTTTCTCATGTTGTATATCTTCCTAACTTAAAAGAAATGAGCATGGGTTTTGCTATGTAGGAAAGACTACCAGGGGTGTGAAAAAGCGGAAAAGACTAGCCAAGAAACATCATTCGATTTTTCATGCAGTTAAAAGTATATATTTTCGATCATAGTTCATCCAGAATTGAGAAAATAAGAATGAGAAATGGAAATTAGGTAAGGATATTCTTTGTAATGATGGAGTCAGACATTGTCTGGAATCTGGATTGCTGCAAAAATAAAACAGCACCAGTGAGTAAATGCTTCGATTTTGTCAATTAGTTCTGAAATCTCAAAAGCCTTGGCATTGCAAAACCAACCATCTGCTGAAGCAAATTTTGCACCTGCAGTAAAACAGAAAAACACAACTCAGTAAGTGACGACAGCGTTGGAGAGTTAGAACATTCTCATAGATGTGTTTGTGAGAACTCACAAAAGCAGTCATATCGGCAGTGCTCTGTTTAGGATCATCACCATCATGTCCGTCCTGCCATGAAACATGTATAGTTCATACTTGGATACAAAGAACAAGCTATCGTAGGAGCTGGTCACAATGTGCAAAACAATTTTAAAAAAGTGAAGTGGCTGTCAGATTACGAACTTAGAAGTTATTCTAAGTGGTAAGAAAAAAAGTACCCACAGATTACGAACTGTAATCAGAGTCTCATGTTCCACCCATTCACAGACATCACATACTAATACCAAGAAAGGAACGGCTGAGTTATTAAGATAGGAGATGACTGCTCTCATTTGCTATGGCTCTCGGCATATGGATACACAAGTCTGCTAAAATCCTACATTGTAAGAACTATGGACCTATAGCAATCCAATGCATCTTAGGTAAGAACAGCTAGCCAGACTTATAGTTGCACATAACAATGCACTTAGAATCGCTACGCTTGGAGCATTTCCTCCCTGTTATCAGAACTATGCATTTACCCTATGCATTTCAGTTTTCATATCCTAAACTTATGTCAACGCTATCAAACAAACTCAATTTTGCTCTCGAACTTCATCAAATTAGGATACAACTGCAGAGATCATCCTCCCGGCTGCCGAGAAAGCGGGCACATAGGGACCCTATGCAAAGAGAAAGCAAAGAAGAACGAAAAACAATTTTGCCATAACGTCCTAACCACAATCCGACATAAACCTCCACAAACAGATCTTACAGAAGCTCAACTGAACAGATTCACACTTTTCTTTCCACCATGAACAAACACGGATCGGGCATTTCCATCGCTCATCAACATTTAATCCACCCGATTCAAAATCTAAGCTCATCAACACTTCAATTCCAAGATTCTATCGCGACATTCTGTTTCTACCCCGTCTCCCGACCATAAACCCGAAACCCTAGCTCGCTTTCATCGCATTCCCAACGAATGGAAAATTAAAAACAAAAGATCGGAAATGAAAAGGCTGAAACTATGGAATTTTCTTTTTGATGATGGAGATTCCTTACCATGTTCGCCTGGATTATGCTTTCTTCGAGTTGTCGCCGGGAAAAATTCTCCGATCTCCGCTGAGAGCTGGGGAAGCAGAGCGAAATTCCTTTTTGGGAGTGAGAGGAGGGAACGAGCAGGCAACTGTACTACTGAAGCTTAACCTACTGAAGTTACGAGTCTAACCCTGTCTAGTCCCTTCTTTCTTCCCTTTTGCTTACACGTCGACGGGGGCGTTTCAGTATTTACAAACGAGAACGGAGGGTACGCTACGCTCCCTGAGCCGCGCTCTTCAATGTCTCTCGATTGAATTCTTATGGACCCTAGTGGCCGAAATTTGAAGATTTTGCACCGGCGAAGAGATGGCTGGCTCTGTTGATATGGTCGGTGGCGGAGGCCGTTCGGAAAAGGTGAAGGTCGCCGCGACCTGTTTGCTTCTCGCGGCGGTGGGAATATCGCTGTGGGGACTGTATTTCGGCGACGGAGAAGCGAAGCAATGGCGGGGGATGTTGAGAAGGAAGAAGAAGAAGGCAATCAGGGTTTACATGGACGGCTGCTTCGACATGATGCACTACGGGCACTGCAACGCCCTCCGCCAGGCGAGGGCTCTCGGCGACGAGCTGGTGGTCGGGGTGGTGAGCGACGCGGAGATCATAGCGAATAAAGGTCCGCCTGTGACTCCTCACCATGAGAGGATGGTGATGGTGAAGGCGGTGAAGTGGGTTGATGAAGTTATTGCAGACGCTCCTTATGCAATCACGGAGGAATTCATGAAAAAGCTGTTTGAAGAACACAGCATCGACTATATTATCCATGGTGACGACCCATGTGTTCTTCCCGATGGGACAGATGCCTATGCCCTTGCCAAGAAGGCTGGCCGCTACAAACAGATCAAGCGCACTGAAGGGGTGTCGACAACTGACATAGTTGGTAATGTTCTGCATCCGCCATTGATTGATTCTTGTTTCCCCCCTTTTCCAATGGTGGCAATGAGATTAGGGTTCATCGTTTTCGTTTCTCTTCACTGTATGTTGCTGCTTTTTTTCTCTTCTTTAATTTAAAATTGAACCCAATAGGACGGATGCTGCTGTGTACGCGAGAAAGATCCGTTTCTGAGACCCGCCAAAGTCATTCATCCCTGCAAAGACAATTTAGCCACGGTCACAGTCAGAAATTTGAAGAAGGTGGAACTGGCAGTGGCACTCGCGTTTCTCATTTCCTCCCTACTTCTCGTAGAATTGTTCAATTTTCCAACGGAAAGGTAACTCCTCGTCTTTCTTCCCCTGGTAGAGCGTTGTTCTTGTTTACCTAGTTTAGTAGTGCATTAGAAATCCGACTTGGTGATCTTACCCCAAAGAGTTGTGTACAAATTCAGTTCATGAGTTCACTGCTCCTGTCTGTTAAATTGCTGCCTGCTTTCTCTGTTGTGGTTGAAGGGCCCTGGTCCGCATGCTCGGATAGTTTACATCGACGGCGCATTTGACCTTTTTCATGCTGGACACGTTGAGGTATGATGAGATAGTCTGTTTCTCGGTAACTTTTAGGCTTTTAGCTCCTAGGTCCATACCCTATTCCTGCTAGTGTTTCTCCTAGTGACCGGAGTTTCTTTCCACTGTTTCATGTACTTCCATTAGATTTTTTCCTTTTTCTGCTTTGCTGTCTTTTTCAGCTTCAAGTGTTATTGATGGTACTACTGCTAGTACGTAATCCCATTTGCACATAGATTCGTTTGACTAATATCATATAGAAAGGTTAGATGTTATTTGTTTAAACTATTTAGCACTGAGATGTTCTGCTGCTGTGAATTTGTTGTACTGTTGGTTCATATTGAGCTTACCGTGCTCTAGTGCTGGACCTTATCATCCCTTTCAACTGGTTTTTTCTCGTGTATCCAACTGCTTTCTGCTTGCTACTTTGTTCCTTATCAACTCTGGTATTCTCATTTCTCACATGCTTGAAGAACGGGGATCTATAGTTTTCCTGTTGTCGTTTTGGTCCTTTCTGGCATTTTGCACCATTTGTTATGGCAGAACTAATTCGACACCCTTCTAGAAGTAGGCCAGTGGTGCTGGTCTGCCTACCCAAATTTTCTCTTCTAAGTTTTAGTGTCAATTTTCCATGGATGAGTGCAATTTATAGACATCAGGGGGAAAGGGAAGCTACAGTGTTTTGGTGTGTACATATGATTGATTTGTTTGTGAATATGAGACCTCAGTACCTCACATAATCAAAGTAGGAATGATATTGCTCATGCTTTATTATCGAAAAAAGATATTATTCGTGTTTACCAAGAATCCATGTTGTTTCAGATTCTCAGGATTGCTCGAGGGCTTGGAGATTTTCTTCTTGTTGGGATTCATAATGACCAGACTGTCAGGTAGCTTTCAGAATGCTTTTTAGGTCCTTTTTTAATCGTGTTGAATCTTCTTGTGCCTCTCTGACTGTAAGTTGGACCTATAACTGTTACTGTTAGATGTTGTAGATTTGTACATGTGGTCAGTCGAGAACGTTCACACATTCTTCTCCTAATTAAGGTTAATCTGAAAAGAGCTTGGCAGCATGTGGCAACCATGGTTTTTGTAGTTGCATCCAGATCCTTCTTCTATCATTTTGGGCAAAATTTCATGATCTCTGTTGGTGCTTGGCCGGTGATTTTTATCATTTAGTTAAATTGGCAAAAGTCTGTTGTTTTTTAGAATTAAAAGGGAGGATTTGGGAATATCTCATAACCTGCATGTACTGTCCTGTATATTCTATCTTAACACTCTTCCTGCATCCACAATCCTTTTAACCAGAAACAATAAACATTTGTCTTAATCAGCTTAAATAGGGTTGTAAGTGCAATATTTTTTCTGTAGTGACATTTGTGTTATGCCATGTACCTACAGGCTACCACACCTATGGTTTTTGCTTTTCATACTTCTCCTCAGAGTCATCTGATCTTTTCCTTTTTCTTCGTGGATTGATTCTGTAGTGCTAGTCATCTGATACTGATATTTTTCTTTTTTTCTACATGGATTATGTAGTGCCAAAAGGGGAACACATCGTCCGATCATGAATCTACATGAAAGAAGCCTAAGTGTGTTGGCTTGTCGTTATGTAGATGAAGTGATCATTGGTGCTCCTTGGGAAATTTCTAAAGACATGGTAAAGAATTTTATTTTAAGTTAATTCTGTCGTTTTTTGCATATGTTACAGCATGCTGGATGGATGTGTTTACAGAGCATTAAAATCAAATTTCGGCATGAAAGACATTTAGCAGTCCAATACCTTTTTCTAACTTCTTTGAAAGAATTTTCCCTCGTGACTTGATTTGTTGTAAATTGCTTATGACTGCAGATCACAACATTCAATATATCTTCTGTTGTTCATGGTACCGTGGCGGAGAACAACGACTTTGAAAAGGTACAATGTGGTGTATTGACTAATCAATTGACTAGTTGCAATATGTGGTGGAAATGCTGCACGGGATGTTTTTAACTCGGGGCATATACTGAATCACAGGAAGAAAGCAACCCTTATGCTGTTCCAATCAGTATGGGCATCTTTAAAGTGCTGGATAGCCCTCTCGATATTACAACGACCACAATAATTAAGAGGATCGTATCCAATAATGAAGCATACCAGGTTTGTTTATTCCAAACTGTTTGAATGTTTCAGTTTATGGTCGTGCATTCATTGGCATTGGCAAGTCTGATCTAAAGAATTTGAGTCCCTAAACCAAAACTTCTTACAGATGTGGTATTCTAAAATCTAAAGAGTGTTCCCTTATGTATTCGGCTTAAAAGGATACCGAGCTCTCTGTTTGATCACCTCTCACACACTGCCTGATTCACTGTTCGGGTCTTTTATCCCGTGTGCAGAAACGCAACGAAAAGAAGTCACAGAGTGAACGAAGGTATTACGAGGATAAGACTCATGTATCCGGCGACTGAACCATAATTGATGCACATTTCCTTTGCCTTGCTAGGGTCTTCTAATCTGCAAGTGAGTCCTGATACAGGTGTTTTTGTCCCACGGGAGGTATTTGTTTGTAGAACTCCTTGTTGAGTGCATTCATAGAGAAAATGCTGTTAGGGTAAGTACTGGAAGCTACATGTTGGAGACAAAATGGAAGTAGAACTTAAATCTAGTTATGTAGTTACTATTATTATTACAGGCATAGTGGTTGGTTCCTCATATTTCTTGTTTTATAATCTCTCTTACTCCCAAGGTGTTTATTCCATGGTTTACTAAATCGTACAATGACGTACAATGCACTAGTTATTCTGCTAACTTGAAGATTCGTTAGTATATACTAACTAATATCCAAAATGTATGAACTAATATCCAAGCCTACTAAGTATCTAGATAGCACAGACTAATATTCAAAACATCACAATCAATAACATATCTCGTTTGTTCAAACTCGTAATTAAAAAATTATAGGCAAAATACACCTGTATAGTCATAACTTTCACACTTTCGACAAATATAGCCATTTCTATTCGAAAACCACAAATAGCCAATTCCGTCCATTTTGGTAACGGTGTTAGTAGACGTTATGACTGTACTAACGGCTTGCGCTGAGTTGGCCATTGAGTTACCCCACTTTCCGACGTGGAAATCAGACGTGGAAATGAAAAAAAAATGAAAACAAATTTAAACAAAAAAAAACAAATTAACACAAATCCCCCAATACAACCACATGAAATCCCTAAAATCTATTTGCCCTTTGTCTATCCCTAGAAATCAACGCTTCAATCGACACCTTCTTTGCCGGCTGGATCCCCTCGAGGTCGAGAAGCACCTCAAGCCGCCGCTGCAACCCATCGGCACCTAAAATACCACCACCACCAGCAGCACTTCTTCATCCTCAATCGTCGTCGCCATAATGGTAGCTTCGTCCATGGTTGGCTCCGCGGATGAGGCAGAGATTTAAGATGTGGGAGAGGCGGAGAGCGAGTTGAGAGAGTTCGAGCAACTGGGGATGAACGTCGGCTTCATGCTCGTTCGATTGGGGGAAATGGTGAAGGCGAGCCGGTACGAGGAGCTGAAGGCGGAGAGGGTTGCGGCGAAGGAGCTGCAGGGCTTGGCTGTGCGGTAGGATCGGTGAGGCAGATCTGAATCGGAGACGGAGGGGGTTAGGTATATTCTCTGGAGATTTTGGGTATTTTTGAGTTTGAATCTCGAATCAGAGCGACAACTGATCTAGGTCGAGCAAGCTGAGCACGTACAGCGGGGACGAGTCAAATCCGTCGGCTGGAGCTCCTGTTCTTCTCGAAACTAGAGGTCGAGTTTGTGTCGACGCGACAACTGGGAGGTCGATTATGGCTGAGCTTTCGTGGTCGCCGGAGTTAAGGTTTGACTGGGCTGAGCACGACTGGATATACCGATCCTCGACGGTGATGATGCGGACGCGACAAGGACCGCGACTGGATCTACCGGCGCTCGCGTCGACGGCCACTTCTGTTGCGACTAAACGTCGCCGGGATCTGGTTTGGGGACACGGATTGAAGATTACGTCGGAAGGATGGAGGGATTTTGGGGAACGGAAGGCTGGGTTTGGATTTGGGGCTTTTGGTTATGGTTGGGGGAGGATTCAAGAGAGACAAATTGGGAAGATGGGAAAAGGCTGATTTGGGAAATCAACGAAGGGTTCTTGATCTGGGTTTTTAGGATTGTGTTTTTTTTTTTAAGATATGACGATGGCAGAGGAAGGTTGAGAGATAATGCACAGCAGAGGGAAGGGGGAAAGTTAGAAAAAATCTTTTTTTAATTTCAACTTAATTATTTTTATAACTCAAAATGATGTGGCAATAATATGATGACTGGTCGCTGACGTGGGTGATGATTTGACATCCTATTCAGCCTAACGTTAACCTAACTAACGGAGCTTTTAACACCGTTAAAGTTTCTAACAGAAATGGCTAAATTTGTCACATGACCATCCGATTTGTTGGCTATTTTGTGTTTTCCGATAGTTATGGTTATATTTGTCACAAACGTGAAAGTTATGACTATACAAGTGTATTTTGCCAAAATTATATTAACGATGCGAAACCACACATTTTCACAAGTTCATTTTGGTACCACCCACCTTGCGTCCTTACACTGCATTGTTTGTTCGCTAGTCACTATCCAGTCTCCCACAAAATTATTGTTTAGGAAATACATTTACTAACCTTTCTTGTATTCCCTGCTGACGAACTCACTCTGTTACTTCACTTACCATATCTGTGACCAAATTGCATTAACGTTACATACCCCTGCTCTCATGTGACTTACCATTTCTGGGATTACATATCAATGCGGGCCAGCCATATAAATTTCCAGGAACCAATCAAAATCGAAACCCTCAAACCAATACAAGAAGATCTCACTTCTCCAACCCACAATCTCCGTAATCGGGCATTCCTCAAAAAAAAAAAATGGCGAATCGGTCGTCAGGCAGGAGAAATCCCCGGCGAGCAACGTGGCCGCCGTGGGCAATCACGTGCATCCCTCTCCTGCTAAACGCCGCCGTCATCTACATCTTCGGTTCGAGCAGGAAATTCGAGTCGCTGCCCAAACCGGGCTGGTTTCCTCCGCTGTGGGTGATTTATTTGGGCTCGATCGGGTCGAGTTTGGTTATGGGCCTGGCGGCGGCGATGGTTTGGGCTGGCGGCGGGTTTGTCGGCGGCGGCGCGGCCGTGCATCTCTACGTTTGTGAGGTCTCGTTGAGCCTTGTGTGGCCGCCGCTCGTGGTCCGGATCGGAGCCGGGTTGGTTGGATGGGTGTACTCCTGCGTGCATTTGGTGACGGTTTTGGGTTGCTACTGGGCTTTTGGGAGGAGGAGCCCGAAGACGAGGAAGCTCGTTGGGCCGTGTTTGGGCTGGGCCGGGTTTGTGACGGTTTGCACGTTCAAGCTGGTACGTGATTCCGAGGTTTCTACTTTCTTGGAGTTGGTTGATTTGTTTGTAGGGTTTCTGGTTGGGTGATTTGGCTGGATTAGGATGGGAGTGTTTAGAGCTTTACTGTCTGTGTAGTTTGTTAGTGGTTAGTCTGGGAGTGTGATGGCTTGTTCTGGATAAATGGAAGTATTTGATTCGAGATTGAGAAATGTTATTTTGTTTTTTATTAAGTATGTTCAATTTCAAGTGATGTCGGTTCTCGATTAATTGTTTTATTGTGAGATAACATAATATAGAGTTTATATATCATCAATAACTAACACCTCGTCATGAATGGATACACTGTTCATAAAAATGATAAGATTAATTTTGATTAACAAATTGGAACCATTCACCACCATAGTGAAGTGTATGTATCAAACAACCACAACACTTCACAAGGTATATTCAGGGCCCAATAATAATGTTCACCTTCTCAATCACCGAATCTAGCTATGTTACTTATAGTACGATATGTAAGGACGTGGCAACAGCACCCACAACTATCTGATCAAACAGGATGCGCTCCACGACCGTTGAATGAACGTTTGACATATTGTTTACAAAAATTTAACCACGTTGGTCCAATAATCATGAGGTGCTCAATACCCGACCAGACAGACTAGGAATGCAGTAAGTGCCCTAACCAGGGATGACAATTTCGACCTGACCCGTTTTACCAAATATGTTTGGCCTGTTTTGTGGCTGGTTCGACCCGCCCTGTAAGTGAGGCGGGGCAGGGCGGGCATGGGTACTCTCATCGACCCGACCTGTCCTGACACGCCCCATTCTTGACCCGTTCTTGCCTAAATTACATGTAATCTTAGTCAAATTACTTTGAATTTTTCTTTTATTACATCATAATTTAGCTATAATAAAGTTTTAAATTAGTGAAAACCTCAATTTCTCTAATAGTTTAACTACATCTATCATAATGTTGTTTGTTTTCTTGGTCTTATAATAAAAATAACGAATATTTCTAATATTTTTCATATAAATTGCATACCCATTGGGTCGACCTACCCCGACCTGTCACGGGACGTAGGGGTGGAAATCGGTACGGTATCGGTATCCCAATACCAAATACCGAAATACCGAATACCGAATTACACCCTAAAATCAATCCCAATCCCAATCCCTAAATAATTTCGGTATCCCAATCCCAATCCCTAAATAATTTCGGTATCCCAATCGGTACCTCGGTATCCCAATCGGTATTATCGAATACATAATTAATTACCTTTGCAATTAATAATTAAATATATAAATTAGATTTTATTGTTGAATTTAGGGCATAGAGACTAAGCAAATAGTCTTGAGTTGCATAGAGCTAACATCTCAAGTTCTTGTAATTGGTAATATTTAATTTGACGAATTTGACGTTGAGAGACGACTAATATTAGTGTGAAATAGTGATGTAATGATCTATTTATAATTAAATGACATTTTTGGTGGTTGAGGGTCGCGTAGTAGTGAATGAGAGAGTCTAGTTGAGAGGATAAAATACACACTAGCTTATATTTCGATATTGATCGGTATTTCGGTATATACCGATCCCAATCCCGTAATCCCTAATACCGAATAACAATTGAAATTCAATCCCAATCCCAATCCCATAAAATAATACGTGTATTCGATAATACCAAATATAAACAAATTCGGTACGGTATTCGGTATATCCCAAATACCGGTACCAAACTTCCAGCCCTAATGTCAGGACGGGTCATGGTACCAAGAAACCCGCCCCGTATCTGCCCACTGCCATTCCTAGCCCTAACCAAATTGCTCAATGATTCGTATCAAAAGCGGAGCTGAATATTTGGGCCAGAGCCCATCACCAACTTTTCATCCGTCCGCCCAAGGCCCAAACCCTTCAAAAGCCCGGGAAAGTGGAGGCCGAAACACCACTGTTTTGTCTTTGTGCTGGGAAGAATCACATGTGTCACGTGTTCTTCAAACTTCAGTTACCAACGTTTGGGACAGCCAGCCGGACAGGGAGGGAGACGTCAAAATATGATATTTCCACGCACAAATTACAGGCTGTGGAAATTGTTCGGCATCCAGTTGCCGTTCGGTGGATGTGGAGAAGAAGAAGTTTCGCATAAGACAGGGAACTCTGACGAATTATCGTCCTTGTCGCAAAAGTCAGATGGGCTGCCGGCAGCCGCGTGTAATCCTTTTTTCGACTAGAGGGAAGTTGCTTGCGTCAGAATTACTAATTCTGCACCGGCGGGAGAACGACAGAACCAAATGGTCAAATCAAACAATTTATCCCGGAAAATCCACAACCCTACACAACTTGCTCCATTTCTACACATTTAATTAATCTTATTTTCTCTTGTTTTTATGACGTTTAATTAATTTTAACTTAGTTGCATTTTATTAATTATTTAATTATCCATGTGAAGAGAATCAATATGAGAGAGAGAGAGAGAGACCCCCAGTTGGCGCCGATCCTCTAATCAATCCCGCTATCAACTGCACATGTGCTGTTTCTTTCATCCCCTCACCGTTGATTTCATGATCTGGATCTTGATCCAACGGCCTCGATCCGGTCAGCCCCCATCTCACAAACCGCACTGGATCATTTCCCCTCTTCCATTTTACTTCCGATCCGCGTAATATTCCAGAGACGACGTGCTTACGTGCAAATGGCACGCAGAATTATTCCTCCAGGCTGGGTTGGTCAGCCATCCGGCTACGTACCGGACCGAAACAGACCAAGTCAATCAGTCGGCTTTCCAACTAAATCGAACCGGTACTTAATGACAAATGACAATTCGCAACTTGAAAAAAAAGGATGCATAACTGGTTCGATTCAATCGTGTCGCATCAAACCGGACACCGAGTCAGCGACCATTCCTGGGTTCCATAAGATAACAAAATCGGTTCGGTTCAAAACCAATTCAGGCCATTTCAACGTGAATTATTTTCCCATTTATTAATGACTCCAATTTAAATATTTAAAATTTTTTATGTGGTCTCTTCTTCTATCATTCATCTCTTCTGAGGAGGAGTCTCCAGCTCTCGCTCACACCTCGCTACTGTCTCGCCACCGACTGCCACGAATCTCAATTCACCCCCTCGATTTCCCATTTATTTACGATCCCGCCACTCCTTCCATTTCCTTCTCCCTTCCTCTCTCTCTCAGCTCCGGCGCCCGGCAGGTAGCGCCATTATCAAATCCCACGGTCTTCATTTTCCCGGTGAGTCGTCCGGCGATTTTTTTCTTTTCCCCGGCCTGGTGGTGGTGACTCGGGGGAACGAGTCGATATGCTGGAAAAGTGCATCGGCCAGCAGCGGGTCCGCCGGATCCAGCGCGCGGCGCGGCAGGCGAAAATCACATTCCTCTGCCTCTTCATGACCGTCGTCGTCATGCGCGGGATGCTCGGCGCCGGCAAGTTCGGGACCCCGGCGCAGGACCTCGACGACCTGACGACTCACTTCTACGCGGCCAGGAAGCACGGGGAACCCCACCGCGTGCTCGTCGAGGCGCAGCCGGAGAACGAGAACGGGAGCGAGAACGATCCGAAGAACTACGCGACGTTCGATTTCAACAAGATCTTGAAAGACGAAGGCGGCGAGGAAGAGAAGCCAGATCCGAACAAGCCGTACACGCTGGGGCCGAAGATTTCCGATTGGGACGAACAGCGGGGCGAGTGGCTGAAGAGAAACCCTAATTTCCCCAATTTCATCAGGGAGAACAAGCCGCGGGTGCTGCTGGTGACCGGATCTTCCCCCAAGCCCTGCGAGAATCCGGTCGGCGACCATTACCTCCTGAAATCGATTAAGAACAAGATCGATTACTGCCGGCTCCACGGGATCGAGATCTTCTACAACATGGCCCTGCTCGATGCCGAAATGGCCGGGTTTTGGGCCAAGCTGCCGTTGATTAGGAAGCTGCTGCTTTCGCATCCGGAGGTTGAGTTTCTGTGGTGGATGGACAGTGATGCGATGTTCACCGACATGGCGTTCGAGCTGCCGTGGGAGAGGTACAAGGATGTGAATCTGGTGATGCACGGCTGGAACGAGATGGTTTACGATCAGAAGAACTGGATTGGGTTGAACACAGGTAGCTTCCTGCTGAGAAATAATCAGTGGGCGTTGGATCTTCTCGACGCCTGGGCGCCCATGGGGCCTAAAGGGAAGATTAGGGACGAAGCTGGGAAAATCCTTACACGGGAGCTGAAAGGAAGACCTGTTTTCGAAGCAGACGATCAGTCCGCCATGGTTTATCTGCTTGCCACGCAGAGGGATACTTGGGGGAACAAGGTATATCTAGAGAGCGGGTACTATTTGCACGGTTACTGGGGGATTTTGGTTGATAAGTACGAGGAAATGATCGAGAATTATCACCCGGGATTCGGCGATCATCGATGGCCATTGGTGACCCATTTCGTGGGTTGCAAGCCTTGTGGGAAATTCGGCGATTACCCGGTGGAGAAATGCTTGAAGCAGATGGATCGTGCCTTCAATTTCGGTGATAATCAGGTTCTGCAGATATATGGGTTCACCCACAAATCTCTGGCCAGTAGGAGAGTGAAGCGGGTTCGTAACGAGACGGGCAATCCTCTCGAAGCGAAGGACGATCTTGGGTTGATGCACCCTGCTTTTAAAGCTGTGAAGGTATCAACATCATCTTGAGGTGAAGAACAATGGGGGGAGGTCTTCTTTTTGTTTAGGTAATGTAATGTATGTGCTGCAGACTCGATGTTCTTTTTTGCTTCTAATTTATTGAAACTGATACAGGTCGATGATTCTACAATGTAATTGCTTCTGTTTGTTCAGCTTGTGGTGGTAGTGGGATGGCAAGGCAACAGATCAAAAAGTTTATTGTATTCCCTTGTTCACACCTTTTGTGATTCTTGTTTTGTTAATTTAGTTCCATATCTTTTTTTGGGCCTTCCCCAAGGGGATGTACCAAAATTTTGGAAAGAAACAGTGGTGGGGAAAGTGAAAAGAACAGAGATTTGTCAATCTTACTGTTTGTTAGAAAGAGCTATAGTGTATGTGGATGAGATTGTTCCTCTCTGGTGTGTTGGAAATTTGGATTGTAGCTGTCTGCATTTGGCTTACAAAGGTTTGCTTTACCCTCAGTAGCTATCAGATCAGATTAGTGCTTGGCCTAGAGAGCTATATCTCTTACTTGGTGTGCTGCTGATGTGCAATTATGTTGTTAGGCTGAATGTCTTATGAGAGTGGTTCTGTAGAGTATGGAATACGAGTTCGGTTTTCGGGTTGTTAAGTTCAGTCAGTTACTGAAGGGCAGGTATTGTTGTTTGAGCTAGTTTGGGAAGGATGATCTGGTTGAAGGTCTGACTCTCCTGAACTGGAGTTTCTTTTGTGTGAACTGGAGCTTGTTAGTCTGGGAGTATGGAGCACTGGTCTTCGAAACCGTCTTTGTAATATACAAGTCTACGAGTCGAGCAGAGGTAGCTGGGAAATGCAGCCCTCGGGCCTCAGCCATGGCCTTCGAGTTTCATCGTCATCATTGTCTGGCTGTTGGCCGAACTTCCATACAAAGGAGAGCAAGTAGATGCAAAGTCTGGTGGAAGAGTTGTTGATTAGTTTGTTCCGCTCTTCGTATTTGCAGGCAAGGACGGCTTCCTATGTTCTGTCAAGCTGCAATGTTGATTGCCGAAAGGGTTTGGACAGGGAACCAAACAGTAACTTGAGCTTTACTCCTTTCGCTCAGCTGTTAAACGTTATCTAGATGTACGTTACTGTTGAAGAAGGGTTGCGGATTTTGTGATGATGAAAAACAGACTTGATTCTCATCAATAATCCTCTCAGCTAATATACATGGCCAGACGAGGGAAAGTAGCAACAGAAATAACAGAAAGCTGGGTAAAATACCTCGATTATTTTTATTTTTAGAAAATACTTCAAATAACACTAAAATATCAGAATTGTGAGAGCTATACCACTTAATTAATAATAAAAAATCGCATGTCATTGAACTCTATTATACGTGCAAGTGTATTTTGTTAAAATTGATAGAATATTTTTGAAATATTCCGTTTTCTAAATTTAAGATTTAGTGTCTCTACATTTTTTTATTGTAAACAATATTTTGGATTTATGAAAAACATCTTTTTTATTATTTAGTTGGAATCCTCTTTTGAAAACTCTGATACCAAACCAATTTTTGAATAATAAATTTAGAATCAATTATCATTATAAGTATTTTAAATTATCATTTTTTTTTATACAAAAGATAATCAATTGATTTAGAAGATATCACAAGTTACATCCTGGAACCAACCCAGACACGAAATCGTACAATAGACACGAGGTCGGAGACAAAGACAGGGCCTTTCGAGCCACAGAATGGGCTACCCTATTGCTATTTCGACCTACGAACCTAACCTGGAAACCACTATGCAAAGTCAGGATACTCAAAATCTCCTGGATAATGGTCCCAACACGTCCATCCCGAGCATCGTTGGCATTAATCTTATCAATGAGCACCTTAGTATCACCCTCAAACATCATTTGGGGGAAGCCAAGAGCATTACACCACTAGATTGCTTCACATAACACAAGAGTCTTCACCACTAGAGGGTTCATGATGCATGGAAAAGACACTCCTTTAACCAAGAGCACATTTCCACCACCATCCTTCACCACCAAACCTCCCGCTGAATGCGAGCCAACACTTACCGCACCATCCCACATACAGAGGATAGGAGGCAAGGCCCCCTCCCTTCCATTAAGACTCTGTGTTACCCACCCCCGAACCAGCGGATCCACTGATAAAGAGACTCATTCATGAAGTTGCTGCTGATACTGACACATTAAAAGAGTAACCGTGAACTGTTTACCCTCAAAGGCTGCCCAGTTACGAGATTTCCAAATACGCCATAAGAGGGCAACCAGAGCCATGATCTGAGCCGGCTGGTCCATCCTAAGCAAGCATTGCTTGAGGAAAAAAGGATAAGTGTATCTCGGCAAATCATGCCCCAAGTGCTCCAAGCCCGAAGATGCCCAAAGAGCTGCAGCGACCGGGTACTCCCAAAAAAGGTGTTCCGTTGTTCCAGATTCCGCACAGCACACTGGACACCTGGGCAGTACCAGGACCCTTTTCTCAATGAGTGCCTTAGTCGTAGGCAAGATACGATGAAGGATTTGCCATACGAGCAGCTTAAGCTTTGGGGGAATCTGGAGGGCCCACATTCGCATCCAGCTCGTCCTATCCATCCAATCTACCACTGGACGCCAAGTACCCTCCTGCCTATCAACCAACACCGCCAGGTGATACGCTGATTTAACAGAGAACACACCATCATTATGTGCTCTAATAATTGAATTATTCCCTTAAAGAAATATATCCTATGAATTCTGTCTCCATTCCCATCTTAGAAAAAAAGTTCTTTCTCAATGTAAATAAATCCGAGAATATTATATTTAGTTCTCTTACATCATGTTGATGTTGTCTAGTTTTTTTTCTAGATTTATTACTTTCCGTTTTTTCTCTCCAATTACTGAACTAAGTTGAATTCTTTCTGATTGTGTTTCGTTTATCTTTCTTTGATCCTGATGTATTGATGATCGATTAGATTCTACTTTTAATGGTTTTCTAGTGATGTTTCCAATTGGACTTAGGGGTTTTAATATACCTTCTAATATTGATTTTAAATGTTTATCATTAGTACTTTATTATTATTATGTTATATTAATTAATACTATAAAGCGGCTATTGTGGTACTTATTATTCCTTCTTTCATAGATAGTGGTGAACAACAGGATAAAAGAATTAAAAATTGACTCATCTCTAATCACTGTTTCATAAAGCGGCTGGATTCTGAAACATTAGGCTGATGAGTTCTTACAACAGACTTTTACCGTCTATTACATAAATCTATCTCATCCAACGGTCTCAACCATTTTCCTTCGCAAATTGCTGGGAAACACCGACTCTTCTGATCATGGGGAAGGTCGTGGCTGTCGCTCTAGTCCTTCTGTTCGTGATCACGGCCACCGTGAGAAGTAGCAGCAGTGAACATGTTCTCCACTCTGTCGCCGGCGACGGATGTTGTTGCAGCGGGTCAGATGAACCAGGGTTCCCGCCCACGTCTACCCGCGACTGTAACGGATGCAGCTTGACAGGCGACGGTGGTGCTGTAAACGTGACGGTCGTCGTGCAAAGTCTGGTGGCTGCAGCAGGCAGTGGCACTCGTTGGGAATGTGAAGGTAAAGTTTCCAGTTCCACTTCTTCCCTGACCCCTTGTTTGTGGGCCAGTCCATGGGCTTCAAGTGATTATCTGACCGCGTCGGGCTCGAATGTTTTGGATAGTTTCTGGCCCATATTCCTTTTTGTGGGCTTATGTTTATCTAAGTTTAACACCATCACACTATTGAATATTGATCGTCTCGACGTTTTAACTTTTAAGTTTTAACCTATGTGGTAAACAATAAAACTTTTTTTTTTTTGATCGGAGGTAAACAATAAAAACTTGATCGTAGTAATATGCCAATATAGGAATGAGATTAGTTGCTAACCCTTTAAAGGGTTAGCACCATACTAACCATCTTTATAGTCATTAGATTAAATAATAATCCAAGGGTTATAATTAGTTGGAGGTTATCTTTGTCAATTACAAAATTAAACCCCCTAACCCTAATTATAAAATCACTCAGCCACTCTCATCCCTCCGCAGCCTCTTTCTCACAACTTCTCCTACCACGAAACTGCTCCTGCTATTTCCAAAGATTAGTTCTATAATGGAGAATGGAGGCCACGTTGCTAATCATCTTTGCCGGCGAGGAACAAGAGAGCAAAACGTAGGGAAAAGCGGTTGTTGGGTTCGCGGTTGAGCGTGTCTCATCGTTCCCTCGTCGACAACATTCGTTACGCCGGTTGGTAGAGAGAGCCGACGAATCGACGACGGTCGCTAGCAGAGAAAGCTTCTCGTCGGAGAAGATCGCATCGGCTGAAAGTAGGTGACATGCGTTTCGCTTCTCCCGCGTGGAACTCCCTGTGATGCCACCACAGCCAGTGCCTCCCTCTCTCCTTTGTGGTTTATTGTTGCAACGCCGTCCTCTGCTCTGCTCTGAAGTTGTTTGTCACGCCCTGGGAGCTGAGAGGACTTGGCAATGGAGGAATTCTCGGTAGGAAGGAAGCAGAAGAGAAGAGAACAGAGAGGAGAGAGAGAGAAGAGAGAGAAGGGAAAGTGAGTTTGTTATTGATCAGCTGAAAAAGTAGTTACAACGGTCCTGACGCCTTTTCTTTATACTACTAATACAAAATTACCACTCCACTCCCTCAACTTCTAACTCTATACAGTTTAGTCCGCGCGTTACAACTCCCCACTTCTTCACTGAAAGCTTGTCCTCAAGCTTCAAAGTCTGGAAATCGGCCATGAAATTCAATCCAATTCTCCCATGTAGCATCCTCCTCGGTTTGGTGAGTCCACTGCACCAGTACCTGTGTCAATGGCTTGTTATCCTGAGCTATAACTCGCCTAGCTAGGATCGCTAAAGGAGACAACTTGAGAACACCCTGATCATCCATGACAGGTAATGTTGGCTGGACCTGCAGAGAATCTCCCACCCTGGCCTTCTTCAACAGAGACACATGAAACACAGGATGGATGGCCGATTCAGCTGGCAACTGTAGCTTGTAAGCTACTGCCCCAATCTTCTGCACAATAGGGAATGGGCCAAAGAACTTGGGAGCCAGCTTCTGATTGACCCTGTTTGCAACCGAAGTTTGGCGATAGGGCCGCAGCTTGAGATAGACCAAGTCACCAACCTGCAGTGTCCTCTCAGTTCTGTGGGCGTCAGCCATCTGCTTTTGTTTATTTTGCGCCTTGGCCAAGTTCTGGCGCAAGATATCAACCAACCTGTGCTGCTGCTGCAACCTTTCAGCCACTGCTGCCACAGGAGTGGAAAGGGGGTTTTGGATAGAGAAATGGGAAGGAGCATACCCATAAAGAGCCTCGAATGGAGTGAGCTGAAGACTACTGTGGAAATTGGTATTATACCACCACTCTGCTAAGGTCAACCATCCAAACCACTTCTGGGGACACAGATGTACCATTCCCCTCAAATATTCCTCCAAAC